GGGTGCGTGCGATTGTACATGGCAACCAACCTGCGCGCAAACGGCAGAAGACACACACGACTAAGGGTACCGAACCTCCGGATACGGTCAACGGAACAGTACACCACGCACACAAGCACAGTCACCCAACACACACATATAAGCATCCACCGACGCACGCACACGCGCACACACACACACATGCCCACACACACGCACACAAGCACACACACACACACACACACCCACACACGCACACGCACACGCACACCCCCGCGCCCAAGGCTAAAGCCCAAGAGGCCTTATCAGAGTATGACGCTACCATGGGAACGCATACAGACAGATACCACTACTGGTGTGCGGCAACCGAAGCCGCGATTATCGAGGCTCGCCTACAGCACCCGAAGGCCCTGATTGTGCTCGTGGGGCACATGATGAGTGGCCGTATGGCGTCGCAGGTGTGTGTTGGGTGCAGATTGCACCTATTTGTGAGCGAGTGAGGTGCAGAGGCTGCAACGGGTGCGACGGCTTACTACTTTTGGTGTGTGTGCGCACGGGTGCTTTGGTCGGGCTCTTTCTGCCCTACAATTACTGTCTTTGTGGACTGAGCGTGGTGTGTGCATACGCTGTACACTTGTACACGCTCAAGTTGGACTAGTACACGCACTTGTGTCACGTTTCACAATCTCGCACTATTTGTCCGCGATCTTTCTTTCATGCCACTCCCTCAAACTGTCCTATTACACTATTCATCGCCCACGCACGCACAATGCGCACAGATTGGGTCCAGAATACCACCGTCTGAGAGCAGACCTCTAGCAAATGCGGTGATTAATCTCGGCTTCCCACCCCACACAGACAATCATAATACAACCACCGACACACCAAACCCTACCCCAAACCCTACACCCATCCCCACACCAACCACTACAGCCCCCCCCACCACCCACCCTCTCGACCACGCAGATGCCCACGAAGGTATGTTTGAATATATATATATATATATATGCAATATAATCATAGGTTGATCATAAATTATCATTGTACGGTTTGATTTCCTAGTTGTTGAAGGTCGAGTGCTCTGGTTCTTAGATTGTTTGGATTTTTGCGCGAGTCCTCATAACGTTTGGCAAAGATGGGCCTACGTTCATTTCTCCTCACACGAGCACCGCACGTACTCACCTGCAGTGTTGATCATGTTTCTAAAGTGCCTGGCTTCCTGCTTAACGTTTTGGTAGACATATGACCCGTTGTCTGTCTCTCTCGCCTGTAGTATACCCCAAAGTGCAGCAACTATGCGCCAGTGCAATATTGTGCATATCCACAAACATACTGTGCAAGAAATTCTTCACGAACGTGTGCATGCACACAAATGCGAAGGGCCCTCTCCAGTACGGTACGGGGTTGGGCAAGAGTGTGAGCTCAATATGTAGGTAGCCGACCTCTGACCTACGCCTCGTCATACTGTCATTCACGTCACCAACATAAACAAGACCTCCGACTTAAACGTGCAGCCAAATGGGTAGTGCACACCGTAACATGGACTACATAAAGTTTCTGTCGGGGTGGTTAAGATATCCGTTTACGAGTATGAAGGGTATGCGGTGCTCCACCTCACATCCACAGTACTTGCACACACGCCACTCTGTCCACGCTACACAGTAGGTACCGTTGGTGCATATTGCCTCGTGCGTGTAAGGTCACCCTCTTGCCCAGAGCTCAGGGCATACTTATCTGTACATTCACTTTCCCGCTCTTTCGCATTGGGTTGGGTTCTCCATCCCAATACCCTAAACCCTATACTCTGATTACACTTTTTTTTTTCGTCAGGGTGGTATGGGCGTTGGAGTAAGCGATGGCAGCACTCTCAGACATGGCTCAGCAGCCAGTTCACAGTACGGCACCCCCGCAGCTGCCAATCAAGGGCAGCTAGGTACTAAAAATAGCCACCAATCAGATCGCCCTCAAGTGGCTCCCCGTAGGACAAGCGGTAGTACTACCGGCCAGACCAATGTTGCGCCAAAGGTATACACACATACACATACATACATACATACATACATACACAAACACATACACATACACACACATACACACACACACACACACACACACACA